GGCCGGTATGACAGGGGTTAAAGGGGGTTGGGAGAGGCAGAGTCCCATCAGCATAAGGGGGAATCTAAATAGTTTTAAGGAAGGAGTGGGGGGAGCTTCGAGGGGTGGTCTTACAGGGTGTGGCAGGGGGTTTTCAGTCTGAAGAGAGTTTTCACAAGGCAAACCTCCCTTCTGCCTGCCCATTGTTTCATGGTTTGTCTTGGTGGTGGTTGTGCCATATTGGTGTTGGGGGACGTCCGGCGGGGTGCAAGGTCCTCGTTGGTTAATGTGGGCACAAGAAAAGGCACTTTGTAGAAACCCGTCTGAGGTATGGCTTCCAGTTGTTCTGGAGGGGGTATCTGCGGTGGCGCCTCCAAGTCAGTGATGTTGCGGCTGGAGGCCTAGTTAAGCAGGTAATCGTTTTTTTCTTGATGCCTATTGGGACCTTGAAAAAAACATATGTTTATACTGTGTTTTCTGTTATTTAAAATGTTATTTATTGATGGTTGTAATAAAAAAGGCAGTTTTTGGGCCATTAACTCCATTTTGTTGTCAGTGTGGTTACTTAGGTTAAGGATGGGGGTAGGTATTGGTTTAGTGGTACTTTGCAAGCCATCTTTAGTCCCCTGGTCATGTACTTGGAGGGTTTTGATAACAAGAATGACAGTCTATACTGCTAATGCCCAATTCAATAGTCATCAAGGTAAGACCTTTGGTCACTGAAGGTCATCTTCAGAATCCATGCACAGGTTCCCATGGTTCGGGACATAAATGCCACACTGCCTAATTATAATCTGCAGCTGGGCAACAATAACTAGTTTTTCTTAGCACACTTAATATTTGAATAGCTTTTATAGACTAATTTTTAATGGCAATAGTAATAGCAGTTTTCTAAGAAAACTAAATTACAGGTTTGCTTTAGGACAAATTATGCTTTGCATGTGACCATAGTATGACACATCTACACCTTTCCACCTCCACTTCTCCTTTCCCACAATTACAGTAAAATGAGATCAAAAGAAACAAAGATTTCTGGAAATCCGCCTAAACCATTGCAAAACCACTGAAATAGTAAATGCTGTAACTAGTAATTTGATGGATATTTGGATTTTCGGTATAGGTAGCACAACTGCAACGCAATTAAATCTTTTGTTCCCCCTAAGTTTCTTGTCATGGTGATGCCAATTTTTATAGTTCCCTTTTTTTTACAGGTGGCTTTGTGGTTCTGCGATTGGAGCAAAAGCTATATTAGTTTTCTGGGCAACTATTGCCGCTTCAGGTTTCCGGTTCCTTCATTTTGTAGTTCCAGTCCGTGGAACCCAACTGAGAGTGGTTCATTTCCTCTCAGCTGCTATTTAAGGCATGATGGCCATCATAGGCCACGCCCCTGACAACGCCATTTATGACAAAACGCGTAGGGTAGAGCTACGTCCTTTGACATCATCACGCCATGTATCATGGCCATTTTGTCGGTTGGAAACAATATCAAACCCATATGTTTTTACCATTGTTGGTTTGTAAGTGCTTTTCTTTTATTAAATTTTGCTTTTCCTTAATACTATGCTATGAGAAGCCTTCATTTCTCTCTTACATGCAACCTATTGTCCTGAGATGATTTGATGGAGTAAATCTTCATGTTACTAACTGAAGAGTTGTCGTTTGGTGGAGAGGCTCTCTGGTTCCATATTTCCATGCCTATGATTTTAAAGCACTATTTAGAGTTACTAACTTTCTAAAGTGAGCCGTGGAGGTGCCTTCAGATGGAGAAGATATTTCGTCCATTTCACCAATCTGACCATCCATAAATGCTATATAAGACCGCATGACCTGTGGTCTTACCCTCTGGCAAGAGGCTGTGTATGGTGTTGGTGGAGGATTCCTTCTCTTCCCCTTTGGGGCAACTCATCACTTTTTTTCCCCATGTGATCTATGGAAGATTTCATCACAATTCTAAGGACTGTTTTCCTTTAGGACTTTTCTTTCATTTATAATGTTTATGTTGGTTATGAGCGATTAAGTGCTACATTTTGTACAGATAGTAATTTGATGTAGCAAAGCTTTATTGAAGAAATCAGGGTCCAAGCATATCAACAAAAGAGAACATTATAATGGACATGTCAGGGGGAGCCTCGATCAAACGCTAAATCAATATCATGTGAATGTTATGTACTGCAATAATATCGGCATATAGTATGTATTTATTTCATTCTTAATTCTTATGGTTTGGAGACTATTTACATCTAATGGTAAAGTGCAAGTGTCTGTCAAATAATCAGTAAAAAAAAGAACATCTGTAGCTGCCTGGTTAGCTGCACTGTAGTGAATAGATAACAAAAATGGCTAAAGGCTTTGACTGCCAAAATGCATATTTCAGTTGTTGGTGGATGCACTCAGATTAAACCACCCACTGGCTTGCTATGGAAATGTCAACTGTAAGATCTCCTGAATTCTCATCTCCATCCACTGGTCACAACTATTGACCAGGAATCTTTCATTTAAACCAATAAGGATATCTTACAATTGGAGATTTTGAGGCAGTGGCCAGTAGCTGATGCAATTCTCCAGCATCCACTTGTAGCAGAAGCATCAGTTTTGGATGGACTGACGATTTAAGCCATTTCTTACAACTATTAAAGTGACTGCTAATACAGAGTATTTTTAGTTTTTCAAGTACAATAACCCATAATTTGCTTTGGGCTCCTGACATGTTACATTAAGAAAGGTACATTCATGAGCTATGAGCATTGAGTAACTGGAGACTTATAGGCATTGCTCCTCATATGAAGTGTTGAAAGCGAAGTTTACTTTCTGTATCCGGATTGGTAGTGCTGGTCACGGGTGGAGATCACACGACCATCACTGTCCTCAGTCCGTATTCTTACGTTATAGGACCCTCCTGAAAGAAGTCAACAAAGAGATTTTAGTTTGAGTGTATCTCATTCTCAAAAATTACTCCTTATATAATATAGCTAATCCTTTATATTAAATGAGTAGAAAAAAGGCAAGAAAATGTTTTACATTCATGTCTGGAGTGAAAGGGGCAAAAGATGGGCAAATGTATGTGTAGATAAAATGGAAGACACGTGGTGGGACCATACTATCCATAGTTGTATCAAATAAAACTTTGCCCAGCAGAGCAACAAATTGATGGATGTTAGTGAAGCTTTATTACCTTTATTAATGTTCTGATTAAACAGATGCATTGAATTTTTGTTATTCCTGATAATCTCCCAAAACATCTACACTCATTTCTAATATTATTTAAATTGCTGATTTTTACATGAAATGTTTTACCATACTTTGTATATAACCACACCCCTTAGTGCTGACTTAATAAAGTATCTATAGTGCCAAAAGTTTAGGTATGGATAGAGTGGTCAAAGTTTAGAAAATTCTTTCTTAACCAGGGTTAAGTGGAACCCTGAGGAACCCTCAGAGGTGAGCAGATTGTTTTACCACCTACCATGACCACTAATGCAAGAGGCAATTTTCCACTAACCAACAATGTAGGAGGTCTCTCAATCTGGGTATCAAATACACTACGTAGGCCACATTTGTTTATTCTTTTTATTTAAAACTTTGCTGCAACATATTATTCATGCTAACATACCATGAGCTGTAGGTATAATAATTTTTAGCAGGGGTTCCCCTACACTTAAAAATTATTTCAAGTGTTACTTAGTGGTAAAAAGGTTAAAGTAAGACTGGATTAGAACCTCTGTCAAGTTTTATAGCTTTCTGAGAACCCACTGGGGAGAAATACTTTCTCCATTTCCCCTAGTGACCAGAAATAAAAGTGAGGGGAAATTCAAAAATTCTACAGGTGTCCAGAAATAAAAGTGAAATTGTATTCACAAGTTCCAGTGACACTTGTATTAAAGGGAATCTCTTTTCTTTGGAGCAGGGGTCTCCAAACTTTCTAAACAAAGGGCCGGTTTACTGTCCATCAGACTTTATGGGTCAGCCTTCAGCTAGTGGAAGTAGAAAATTGCTTGGTGATCAGTGGGATTAATAAAATGCACTGTGCCTGTGTTCAGTAGGAAGAATAGTGCCCCATTGCTGATATTGGTGGGAGGTATAGTACTGTATTGTCATTGGTGCCTCCAGGAGGACTAGTACCCCACTGTTGCTGTCAGTAGAGGGAATAGTGCTGTATCATTGGTCAGTGGGAAAGAATAGTGCCCATTGTTGGTGTCAGTGGAAGGTAATATGCCCCACTTTTGGTGTCAGTGGAAGGCATGGTGCCTCATCGTTGGTGTCTTTTAGAGGAATAGAGCCTTGTATCTGTGGGAGTAACAATGCCCCAGGGTCCAGATAAAGGCAAGCAAAGGGCCACATCCAGCCCACAGGCAGCAGTTTGGAGACCACTGATTTGGAGAATTTTCCTATCACTAACTATTCCTCCGAAGTACATGAAGTGAAGGGAACATTCACCATAGTGAAATATACCTCAGCCATGTGTAAGCTTCAAGTCATGGCATAGAGGGAGCAACAGGGTAGTGGAGTATGTGCTCCAAGGAGTTGGTTACTTAGTCCTTCATGGGCAAGGTAGACTGTAGGTCAGCATGTAATACCATGGTAAAATTGTGTTGAAAGAAGCATTTGCTGAAATAAAGGGAGGCTTGTATTGCTGACCTTTTCTTTTGAAAATGACAGTTGACTTTCTGTCATATTGGTCCAATGGCTTCAATACTTTCTGGATACCTGACCCTGATGTGTATTTCTCACATCCGTCAAACTTGAGTTGTTTAATTCTTATTCTATGAAATTAGAGATCAAACATGGCAACCATTTTCAAAAGGTGGTCAGCAATGGCAGCCTACAAATATTTTCAGGACAGGTTTCCTTTAATAAGTGCAGTAATAAAAATATCAAGACATTTGAGATTTAAAGGATGCAATGCTTAGCTGGATGAGTATTACATACTGAAAGCATATCTTCTGCAACAATCTGGCCCAGATTGTGAATTATAATGGTCATTGTGTTTACTCTTGTTATCATTTTGTGAGATATTCCATACCTGTTTTATCAGACTGGGAACCTGATGAGTAATGTGATGAAGATGAATAATCATGGGAGCCCTTTGGGGTCCTATGGAAAAATATTTTGCATATGAATGATACCTATGTTCATGATATAGTAATAAATCATTTATTGAAAAACTACATTCTATGTTCTGCATCTTCTTCAGTCCTATTTTTCATGATTCTTTTTTATATTCTCAACAATTTGTGTTTATAACATAAAGTTTGCAGAGCCACTTGTCCTGTGAAGCTTCATGTACATGTATAAATGGGGGTAAAACATTGTTAGGCTATTTTCTCTCTATGTAGAATGATTTTCATTCATAATAATAGAAAGAATCAAGCGGACTGATAATTTTAATCTCTACAACCCTATGTACTGAAAATTTCTTATACTGATCAGCTATAGGTCTGATCCTAAAATGACAGGTCTCGCTCTAGGACAGTGGTTCCCAACCTTCCTAATGCCACGACCCTTTAATACAGTTCCTCATGTTGTGGTGACCCTCAACCGTAAAATTAGTTTCCTTGCTACTTCATAACTGTAATTTTGCAGTGGGTGGAGTAGTGCCACATCATTGGTGTCAGTGGGAGGAGTAGCGTCCCATCACTGATGTCAGTGGGAGGAATAGTGCCCCATCATTGGCGTCAGCGGGAGGAATAGTGCCCCATCACTGATATCAGTGGGAGGAATAGTGTCCCATCATTGGTGTCAGTGGGAGGAATAGTGCTCCATCATTGGTGTCAGTGGGAGGAATAGTGCCCCATCATTGGTATCAGTGGGAGGAATAGTGCCCCATCATTGGTATCAGTGGGCGGAATAGTGCCCCATCATTGGTATCAGTGGGAGGAATAGTGCCCCATCATTGGTATTAGTGGGAGGAGTAGTGCCTCATCATTGGTATCAGTGGGAGGAATAGTGCCCCATCATTGGTATCAGTGGGAGGAATAGTGCCCCATCATTGGTATCAGTGGGAGGAATAGTGCCCCATCATTGGTATCAGTGGGAGGAATAGTGCCCCATCATTGGTATCAGTGGAAGGAATAGTGCCCCATCACTGGTATCAGTGGGAGGAATATTGCCCCATCATTGGTGTCAGTGGGAGGAATAGTGCCCCATCATTGGTATTAGTGGGAGGAATAGTGCCCCATCATTGGTATTAGTGGGAGGAATAGTGCCCCATCATTGGTGTCAGTGGGAGGAATAGTGCCCCATCATTGGTATCAGTGAGAGGAATAGTGCCCCATCATTGGTATCAGTAGGAGGAATAGTGCCCCATCATTGGTGTCAGTGGGAGGAATAGTGCCCCATCATAGGTATCATATTCCAAATATTTCCAATGGTCTTAGGCGACCCCAGTGAAAGGGTCATTCAACCCCCAAAGGGGTCACGACCCACAGGTTGAGAACCGCTGCTCTAGGATGTAGAACACATTCCTATCTGGATAGAGCTTCTGCCTTTCCAACCTCAACCTAAGCCAGCAGAATAGTTAGCATTTGTTACTATTTTTGTGCACGTACTGAATTCCCTGTCCATCCAGTAGGTTGCGGTAGGTGTTGATTTCTTGTTCTAGGCGCGCCTTGATATCTAGAAGAATTTTGTACTCTTGGCTCTGACTCTCTATCTCACAGCGGATATTTGCCAGTTCTGCCTCCACCTTCTGGATCAGCTCTTGGATTTGAGCAAGCTGCATGCAGTAGCGTCCTTCAGTTTCTGATAACGTTCCTTCCAAAGCGGCTTTCTAAAAGAGTATAATTAGAAGAACAAACTCTTACAGGGCACAAATTATAAACCTCTTTTCTTATCAGGAACAAAATGGCCAATATGGTGTATATAGAGGGAAGACAGGAGGGTAAACTCTCCCCACATCCATGAGGTCAGGGGACCCGTCTTCTGCTTCCCCTTTGCTCTGGACTGATATTATATTGTATACAGAAATAAAAAGCATTTATTTAATGTTGGTGTTTGTTTTATGCTTGGATATCCACATACCATGCTAATTTGTGCCTGGAGGTCAATCTCAAGGCCTTGCAGAGTGCGTCTCAATTCTATGACTTCGGTCTTAGTGGTGCTGATTTCATGTGAGTCCATGCTCATCTGGTTATTCAGTTCTTCACTCTAGGGAAACAGCACCATTTTATTATTGCAGTATTAAGCGAATATCTTGAACATCATCTGGGTTTTTATTGTGGGACAAACGCACCTTAGCACGATACCATTCTTCCGTATCTCTTTGGTTTTTGGCCGCGAGCATTTCATATTCTTGCCTCATGTCGCTAAGTACTTTTTGTAAGTCAACTCCAGGTGCTGGGTTGATATCCACATTGACAGTGCCTTGGACCTGTCCACGCAGTGCCTTCATATCCTGTATAAGAGACATCAATAAAATATCTGACATGCGAAGGTGATGCTACTGCTGCTGTGATTGAACTTGCGTACAGTGCCACCCAGTGATAAACTGCAGTTAGGTCAACTTTACAAAGTCTTCCACATTCCTATGGAATTTATTTCTAAAATGAAAAACCAAAATCAGTTACATTTTTATTTCATGAACCTCTTACTATCCTTAGCTGTGCACAGGATATAGGAGAAAGCTAAAGATATACAGATTGCCAAAATTTACAAGGCAACAAAGAGTATAGTTCCCAACTGTCACATCAAGAAAAAAAAGAGGGTGGGTTTGTGTTGTATGCTAGGAATACTCTGTGGGTACCATCCCCCATTTTAATCAAGACCAAGATGGGTTGAGGGGTATTTGGCCTAGCTTCCAACTGTTCTTCAATTGAAACAAATTCCCTCTACCCTCCTCACTTGTCCAACCTTTTGGTTTGAAATACAGACCTCTTTAAAATGGGCTATATAACTACCCAGCGTGTTATACTACACTAAACCTTAGTTTCAGAGGCCAGCATATGGAAAAAGAGTAGTGAAAAAGCACTTGGGGTTTTTTAATCAATAATTTCTAGGTTATTTATTCCTCATGGTCCACATGACTGGGTGTTTATTAAGGATGGATCATCTACCTACATGCTCTGTGCAAAAAGGTGTACATCTTTCTTACCTCAAACATTTGGGAGGTATGAAAAAGTATTTTGGTAGCTCAGGTGCTAATACTGCATTATTGTTACCGGAGTGGTTATTATTTGCTGGCCCCTTTCACTTGCATTAATGCCAAATACCTAGTGAGGAGACAAGGTCTTTTTTAATTCCTATTAAATGGGGTTTCTAAGAAAGCTTGAGCCTGAAGATCTGCAATTCCATATAAATCTAGTACAACCATAAAATCAAATGATTCTCTGTAAAAATCAACATATTGCACTGGTTGGATATCAGTTCATGAACAGGGGCGGACTGACCATTTGGAAACTCGGGCACTGCCCGAGGGCCCGGGGTCAGTAGGGGGCCCTATGAGATGCCCCTGGTACCTTTTTCATAGGCTTTTTTGAGTTTGGGCAAGCACACAGGGGCCCCATGAACCCCTATTGCCCGGGGGGCCCCATGAGTTGTCAGTCCACCCCTGTTCATGAAGTAATATATCTGGGGATTTACTTGCATGTCAACAGTGGCATGTGGAGACCATTACACTACAGAGGTCCTAATGAAATTTGCTAGACATCCCCTCTAAAGCCAGCATAAAAATGGTTTGGCAAACAATTCCCTCTGCTAAAAATGATGACTGATCGACAAGTGCAGTAATCAATAACAACAAACAATTTCACACTAAATAAGTTCAGAATTAATGAAAATATAAAAGTGTTTGTTGACTGTCTGCTCTTCTTTGGAAATTGTCCTTTGCTTTAATGTACAACAAACTTGTTGTAGGGATGTAAATGGAGACAGAGTACAGGAAACTATAGACAAAGGGACTCTCTGCACATTTATGGGTTGCAATAATATGCATTACTTTGCATTACTGCAACACCATGCAAAAAATGGTACTCTGTCCAATGCCATTAGTTTAGAATGGCTCCTATGCACAGTGCAGTAGGTGCCAGTGGAAAGATTTGCGGCACTACTCCAAGCCAGGAAGCAAAAGAAATCACCCCACCAGCATTGAAAGAGGGTGAATCAAGAGTCGTTCCTATGACCAAGTACAGTAGAGAAGTCAACACCACTCTGACAAGTCCCTGGAGTCCGGTGTATGCAAGATGGCCTCAGCCACCGCTCCAGCCACACCCTCTTACATGTTTCACCCAGGAAACGCATCAGAGTACATGGCCGGAGCGGCGGCTGAGACCATGTTACATACACCGGACTCCAGAGACTGGTTAGAGCGGTGTCTACTTCTCTACTGTACTATGTGTCAATGAACCAACACTGCAACAGGCAGAAAGAGTAGAGTCTCCCAGCAGTACAAGGCATAAAAACTGCCATAGCAGACCACGTAACTGATATGGAGCCCAGAAGCACAGGGGCCCATAGTTATCTGGATATAAAAATATGAGTGTAAGTATTGCTCTTTTGACAAATACAGTAAAGTAAATGTAAATAGCGTATAGGAACCCCTATAAGCTTACACTAAAAACAAATGATATTCTGTATCACTAGCATAATGGTCTTCAAAACGGATTGAGGGGGGGTCCTATAATTGATAGAGGGCTACATCACTCATAGTTATGGCACAGACAGTAATGCAAGAAGAACCAAAACTGCAAATGATTCTGCTACGTAGACCTTTGTACAAGGATCTCCCACACTAAGAGTATTTTTTTCTTTATGAAGTGAATTTAGTTGGATGGTCTGGTAGTACATGGCAGGGCTCAGCATCAAAAGTGAGGATTGGATGGAGCCCTAGAAGAGGACAATTCTGCACCACACTTTAAATAATACTTGTGCTCCCTCAAGTGCCTGGTATGGTACCTGTCACAGTTCACATGCTCACTCTAGAACAGCGGTTCTCAACCTGAGGGTCACGACCCCTTTGGGGGTCGAACGACCCTTTCACAGGGGTCCCCTAAGACCATCAGAAAACACATATTTCCGATGTGTAAAGAGCAGCTACTGTGTAGAAAGCAGCTGCTGTGTTGAAAGCAGCTACTCTGTTAAAAGCAGCTACTGTGTTGAAAGCAGCAGTATTGGAGGTAAAACGACACTCATGAATTATAATTACTGGGATAAATAATTTTATGGTTGGGGGTCACCACAACATGAGGAACTGTATTAAAGGGTCACGGCATTAGGAAGGTTGAGAACCACTGCTCTAGAACCAGCTACTGATTGTTGAGGGACATAAAGAATCCACCTCTATGGATTCTGGTTGCATTATAGAAAGTAGACATTTAAATAGATGACACTCTAGAAATTTGGTTTAGAAATGGTGTACAAATGAACACCAGAGATTCAGGAACTGGTTGGAGGACCTGTGCAGAAGTTGTGATAACAATATACTGTATTAAAGGGCTAAAGCTTTGGAAGCGTTTATCCATGCTAACCAAATTTACCTCTTCGTGGTTCTTCTTTATCATGGCTAATTCATCCTTTAGATTCTCAATCTGTGACTCCAGATCACTTCTGGTGAGAGTCAGATCATCTAAAACCTTCCTCAGACCATTGATATCAGCTTCCACTGACTGGTGAAGGAACCGTTCATTCTCATATCTATTATCAAGATAAACAATTGTTAGTTCTTTCTATAAACTTCCATTAAGCAAAAGGAACAGCGCCAAGTTCACTAAATATCAGTTCAAAGAATATTAACATTCAGCAACCAGGCATAATGTCTCTTTTACTATTCTGATTACTGCAAACTGATGACAGCTAAAATAATAGGTTGGCATGTGAGCATGTTACTCACTCCATGTGATAGTGCTGGGCCAATCAGCATTGTTACAGGGGGCAGCCACAGTCTTGTGTAAATTACGCCTCCAGCAAATTGTAGCTTACACGTATTTCCTTTGACTCCGAAGCTCACCTTTGGTAAAAATTAGTGTTAAATAGCCACATGCAGATTGCATCGGTGCACTTTGTACTGGCATGGTGCCTATCATTTTCAGCGTGCATTACTAAAAAATGGCAATACAACTTGGAAAAAATTTAAGCAATTTAAGGTGCATTACATTCTGAAAAAAATACGCAAAAAGTCACCTTATAGCGTACCTAAGAACTTCTCCCATTTGGTCCCTTTTGATCTGGTAACTATACAATTGAAAGTGTTTTGTTGTATCTGTTTAATGACTTCAAAAATAGCTGTTGATCTTTCCAAAAATGGGCTAATACCTTCCTGTACTCTCTGCACTGTTATCAATTACATTTTTTCTTGATCAGCTCTGAGGACATCAGAACCGCACCCCTCTATATTATGGACCATGTGCAGAATAGTAGGGTCCTGTGGTCTTATCTTGTTTCTGTTGTCCTAATTCAGAACAGTGAGTGAGCATTGTCAGGACAAAAAATGTGCTACTGGCGGTATTACCAGTTGAAATTAAAAAAATCCAACAAAGAAAACGAATACAGCCACTCCATCTAATGACTGGTAGGCTGCGGTATATTAAAGTTTTGGTTTTGGGTTAATATATGCTTTCATTTCTTCTTTCCCCATGACTCCACTGCTTGTTGCAAAATGGCAAGATTTTGCCAAACTGTATAGGTTTTTAGCAATTTTCAACATTAAGAAGTCTTATCATGCATAGACAGTGTTATTCCAGAGACTCTGGTAAATGGGGTGATCCATAAAAAAAATGTGTAGTATCTAAGCACATAGATAGCAGAATGTCCGCTTATAGGTTTGGAATGCTCGTGTGAATTTAGAATATCCAAAATTATAGTTTTTTGCGATTAGTCATTAAAAGGCAATATGACAGCCATAGTCACATGTTACCAGTAACAATTTTTGTGAACAAAAATTTAAAAAGTTTTAAAACAGATAAAAATACAGTGCAATGGGTTTCTACTTACTTGAGTTTAAAGTCATCAGCTGCCAGGCGGGCATTGTCAATCTGCAGTGTGATGCGACCATTGTTGACAGTGGCATCATGGATCTGACAACAAAAAAAATCACCATAACTTTATTCAGGTTTTAATAAAACCCTCTCTGTTTCATAGCATGATGTTCAAAATTTAAAGTGGGATAATTGTCCAGGAAATACATACATAGAGAGGCTTCTCAGTGATTTAAAGTGTTCAGCGCATTAACTTTCATGATCCAAGAGAAGTGTAAAGTTTAAGGCGTTATCTGAAAACAGCATAAGAACTTACTATTGTATCCCCACCACCAACACCAACTTTTCTGCTATTTTAACTAAGGGTTCATATTTCAAATAATTGTCATCCTTGGAAATTGAAAAGCTGGTGGTGTCAGTCACCTGAAAGAGGTAGCTATTTCCATTAGAACAGTTTGTTTATTTTAGAGGACCTCAGCCTTTGTTATGAGATGCCAAGTATCAGGTTTTGCTAATTTCCTAAAACCCTAAAAAAGGAGCTTCTACTTTCTACCAGGGGCGGACTGACAAATCATGGGGTCCCCGGGCAATAGGGGATCATGGGGCCCCTGTGTCCTTGCCCAAACTCAAAAAAGCCTATGAAAAAGGTACCAAGTGCATCTCATGTGGCCCCCTACTGACCCCAGGCCCTCGGGCAGTGCCAGTTTCCAAATTGGCAGTCTGCCCCTGCTTTCTAACATGCCAGTGACTCTTCAAATAAATTCTGAGAGCAGAGTTGTAGGTTACGTACCAAGACTTTAAGCTGGTAGAATGTTGTTCAAAACATTCTTTTGGAAAGGCTTGTTCACTTCTCTAATGGTGTTATATTGGAACAAATTGATGTTCGTTTTTGCCCATAAAGAAAAGAAAATGTGAAGGCTCAGGATGGAAAATATTTGTTGTTTCTTATCTAAACCAGAATTTCTCAACCAGGGTGCCCAGGCACCCTGGGGTGCCTTGAGATTTCTTTAGGGGTGCCTTGGCAAAATGTCTAAAAATTGCCCAAAACGTGTACACAAGCTAGTGGGTGGAACAAGCCTGCCTTTTAGTTACACAAACCCACAGGTTTTCATTGTGCACCATTACAACCTTCTAGACGCTGGTGTCCTGACAACCAATGACATCATCAGTTGATAAGGAGAATGTCAGTTGCCTGCACAGCATCCTAGTTTGCCCCTCCCCTGCCCCTCCATCAGTGCTGGGGTCACATTAGCTCAGTGATGGATAAAAACTGAGAGAGAAAAGAAACATTGGGATCAGGGGTGGACTGACCATTTGGAAACTCGGGCACTGCCCGAGGGCCCGGGGTCAGTAGGGGGCCCCATGAGATGCCCCTGGTACCTTTTTCATAGACTTTTTTTAGTTTGGGCAAAGACACAGGGGCCCCATGATCCCCTATTGCCCGGGGGCCCCATGAGTTGTCAGTCCACTCCTGATTGGGATACTAGTCAGTACCAGTGTGCAAACGTGTATTTGCTTTGGAAGAATTAAATCATCTCTAATGTTGGGTGTCCTACATGTGTGGATGTTGCTGCGTTATATTAAACTATTAGAATAGTTTTTTCACATTTTAGAATGGGGGGGACTGTCTTAAAGGTGCCTGTCCAAAATTTTAAAGGGTGCCTTGGGACTGTCCAAAATTTTAAAGGGTGCCTCGGGACTGTCCAAAATTTTAAAGGGTGCCTCGGGACTGTCCATAATTTTAAAGGGTGCCTTGACTGTAAAAAAGTGGGAGAAACACTGATCTAAACAAACTAAATTCCAATTGTTAATGTGGTCTTCAGGCAGGAAAAAATGTATGGTATTGTATAAAGGACGGAAAATTGAACATTCAAATTCTATACATTGGTATTGCCTTAAAGGGAACCTGTTGCCTTGTCCTGCTTTTTTTATGTGTTCATTTGTCCTAACACTATGATAGGGCACAAACACATCACATATCGAAAAACACCAAAATAAAAATGGAACACATCTAACTGTATTGAAACTTGATTCATCTGCATCTGGGAACATAAAACAAATGCAAAAAAAACATTATCATCACATGTTAATAGAATTCATAAAGATAGATAGATAGATAGATAGATAGATAGATAGATAGATAGATAGATAGATAGATAGATAGATAGATAGATAGAGAGATAGATAGAATAGAGATAGATAGAGAGATAGATAGATAATAGATAGATAGATAGATAATAGAGAGATAGATAATACTGGGTTTACTAAAGGTTTCAAGGCTGTTCACTTAGCAAGAAGTCTGGCATGGAGAATATTTACTTTGCAAAATGTATGTTCTTTAAGTAAAACTTTGTTTACTTTGAATGTGCAATCACTTGCAAGGGAAAATTGTGATTGGGTAATAGCAGAGAACACAGCTTTACATTTTTCGTTAAGTCAAGTGAACATCCAATTTCAATGTAAAAATATACTTTGTAAAGTAAATGGTCTTTAAGTTTTCTATAGCCAGGCTACACCTCTAAACAATTGTCTTGCATAATGCAGGCATTGTCTGGCTGAGGAATGTAAAGCAGCTATTCATAATACCTGAATGTGTATAAGAAGGAGGATGGTGCCCTCTCTCGTTTGTCTCAATTAAGTCACATAAATTGTCCTATGACAAGAGGCTCGAGTCTAGGTAAATTATTTTCGAATTATTTCCCTGTAGGATATTTTAGGCTCACTACACACAGCTTAACACAGAACTAAAGTTCCACTGTCAAAGACAGCAAGCAGGCAGCTCTTTATTGCAGAAGAGACATACAATGTCTCTTCTGCAATAAGATCACCTACCTGTCTGCTTGTTGTCTTCTCTGGCATGTTAATAAAGCTGCGCATGCGCAGCTCAGCTTACAGTGCAGGTCCAGTCCCTGTGTGCCGAAAGATGACTGGCTTCTGCGCATGTACAGGAGGGACGTCATCTCGCGCCAGCAGAAGACCAGTACAGAAGATGCCAGACAGGACTGTTGGAGCAAAAGTAAGTTTAGTTCCACTTTAAGGGCTTATGTACACTGCAGCTGATAAACTTACATTTAGGAGTTGTTCAGCGTTTTTTTTCAGCAGCCCCTGAACTCTCCCTAATGTTTTCCTATGCGTCCATGTACACATCTTCGTTTACAGTCATTAACAGGCATTTGAGCTTACAGTCGTTTTTTTGAACGCAGAAAACTTGAGTTCAGCAGTCGATTTTATCAGTGTTTCAAACGCAAAACGCTTGTAAACGTGGCTAAATGCGGCAAATCGCGTTTATAAGCGTTTGCGTTTGAAATTTTTTTACCTCTTCCAGTTCCCGATGCTGTCCAGAGCCTTTTTTCATCATGAAAAAATGCATGCAAAGCGTTTTCAAGGTACTCAGATGGACAAAACACTGAACACAGGATGTTCTTACCAAGCTTGTCACACATTGTAATGACCAATTCACACCTCAGACCTCTCCCACCCTTGGAAACAAAAGATATGTTAATGACCATTCACGCCTCAAATTTGTCATGCAGACCCCCTGCCAGGTGACCTTAATGACTGCCTCCACCAGACACCTTTCCCACCCTTGGAAACAAAAGAAATGTTAATGAGCAACTCACACCTAAGCTAATCTCAACACATACTGCTGTCTCTGCTTCTACTCTCTGTATTTCTCTGAAACAGTCTGAAATAGTTCATAATTTACCACTTTTCAGTGCATTCTGGGCATTTCGGAGGTTCTCCTGTGCTTATCTTTAAAAAACACTTCTAAAACACAAACACACATAAAAGTGTTATGCAAACGCGATTAAACAGACATTTTTTAACCTACGTTTTCCAGCAGTCAGTTTCCATCGTTCAGAAGTGTCCCGTGTACATGGGGCCTCACACAAGGATATGGATCTTTATTTTAGCCATGTGACTGTAATTTTCACATTCAGCTGAAAATAACTCTCAGTTAAAAGAAGAAAAAAGATTCCTTACCTTCTATTCTCAAGTAACTGATTTCTTTTTCTTTCTGCTATCACTTTTTCAAACTTTGATGGGTTAACAGCAGCCTGACCGTGACATCACATTACTTTTAATGTAACCACAATGCGGAAGCCTTGAGCACCGAAGCAGAATGTTAAGAATGATCTAATTTTTAATTTCTGCTGTAATGTTCTGACAAAAGGACCAAAAGGACCAAACTTTTTACAGGGCTACATACATGTAGACATGACCACACTGTATCTCGTGCTAAGTTTTCTGATATTTCAGTTGCTGTATGTTAGTGGGTTGAAGCACTAAACCATTGTGTGCAGCTGCACAAGGGCCCTCTGATTTAGGTACCCATTCAATCTAGAATTTGGTGGGTACTGGAATCTATTCCCTCCATCATGTAGACCTGGATAGCGTTTTGATACCATTTGGGCTAGTATCGTCTATTGAGGTATTGCAATCTATACAGATCAATAAAAATCATGATCAACACAGAAATTCATAAAACCCAAAATGGCATTTTCACTCTATCTATCTATCTATCTATCTATCTATCTATCTATCTATCTCTTTCTATGTTTTACAAAGTCATTAATTATTTGTCTTGGGCAGTAGTTAAAAGAGTTATGCCTAGGATATTCTTGCACATTATTCTTGGGCTTTGGTGACTTTGTCTACCATTGAATCACCAATAATATGTTTAAATTTCTCTGGATGAAACTTTTGCACATTAGTTCTCAGCCCACCCACCAAGTCAAATGTGTTCATTTTTTTACTGAATATTTTTTTAATAAACAGCAAACTTTTAATACAACAAGCTTAAGCCCGTCTAGAAATATGTAGTGTTTGATATAAAATGCATAAATTCATGGTTTATACACTTTGCAACATCTTCAATATCTTACCTTTTTCTGAAGATCCTCAATAGTTTTAAAGTAATGACTGTAGTCTTGGGTTGGTTTTGGTTTTTGAGATTCATACCAGTGGCGTATCTTCTTTTCTAGTTCAGTATTGGCCTCCTCCAAGTCTCGCACTTTGTTAAGGTATGAGGCCAGACGGTCATTCAAATTCTGCATAGTGTGCTTCTCATTGAAATTGAGTATTGTATTGTCTTCTCCAAATGCACCTCCATGACCCCCTCCAAAGCCATGTCCACCTCCATGTCCAAAACCAGAGCCAGCCCCAAAGCCTGCTCCAACACCAAAGCCAGAGCCAGCTCCGTAGCCAGCACCACCAAAACCAGATCCACCACCAAATCCAGATCCACCACTAAAACCAGATCCACCACCAAAACCACAGGCAGCTCCAACAATACCTGACCCACCACTAAAGCCATAGCCACCTGCTAAGCTCCCTCCTGCCCCACCACCATAAAATCCACCAGAGCCATGTCTTCCAGAAGAAACCCTAACACTAGAGGTATGACCAGAGCTGGAACCTGAGCTTCCTAAAACCCTAACTCCTTGTTTCATGCTCATTGTGGCAAAGAAAAGCTTGACAAGAAGATGCTACAGAGGAAACTACACAGCTGGATCTGAGACAAGGCCACAGATGCATGTGTTCTGCTATTGATTCCTTTTATACTAATGAGGCATTGGGTGTCACCATTTAATTGGAGTTTGCATATCGTTGCCAATTTTCTTTTAGCACCTCTTTTTTTTTTCTCGGAAGATGATGGACAATCATTACATGTATAGCATCTGGGTGTTATCATGTTTACACACCAGATGTATAGGCAAAAGTAGAAATTCATGTTCATTTGTTTTTGCTGGATGCAAGCCTGAAGCAATTAAATCAATAACTACTGGAGTTTGGTGGAAAAAAGCTGTAAGCTATTTGGTGCTACAAATGTATTTGTTATAGAACGTCTCTCAACATACACAGAAGTCATAGTCATATAAAACCAAGACACATCTGCATTAGTTTTATTGCTGAAAATAAAAAAACAAAGACAAAACTTTTACTGATGGTAATCACTATTTTCAACAGCTTAGTCTACCATAATTGATAATTCAGCATTGGAAAGATGACTTTAAAGAGTAACTGTCACGAAAATAAAAAGAAATAAACTCCAGCAGCATTATACAATATTTTTATGATAGCTCATCTTCATTCTCAGAGCTAAAAGTGCAAGTAGACTCTTCAGCATCCAACATTTTCAGCTGTGTCAGATTCCTTTATCTCCATACTGCATGCTGTGGCTCACCCCCACTACATCACCTGCAGCTCTAAAAAACACATCCGTGATGTAGGTTCTAGTTCTTCCCACTTGCTTTGTTTGTCATGAGGGGTCTGTATCTAAATTATGGATCAATCATGTGCGTCCCGTTACAGAAAATATAGAAAGAGCATGCATTCATGGTAGGACCACAAGGTTTCCTTAATGGAGACTCAGAGAGAAACCTTAAGCAAGCGGGGGATTAAATCGCAAAGCACCTGCCCACATTTAAATGTCAGGTTCTTTAAAGATGCCTGGATACTTGGCAAGAGAACTCAAAACTTGAATAGATTTCTGCTCTTACCTTATTATGTCTTCCGGAGCCTCTAGTAAGTCCCAAAGCTCAAAGCTTCAGCTCAGAGGTCTAAATTCTGCCACCCCGCCAATATACCGCTCTACACAGTATTAAAGCATGTAAGGTGCACACACGATGCTTCTGTGCTGAGATGTTGGCATTTGCATTTATAAGGTTTCTGTTTTTAAGAATTCTGGAAAATAAAATGGGTTTTGTGCAATCATCTCTAGGTCCCTACTAATCTGTCCTGCTACCATTTGGACAACCTAACCTTAGTTACAGGTGTACTTTGACTCGAAGTTCCTCTTACATTTTTGATTTCCATAACCTAATTTTTGAAAACTGGAACTAAGGAAAACTAAATCGATTAACCGAGCCTTCAAGTTGACCCACTCCATAAGATAGAAAACGCATTGCCCATTTTCTTTTTATCTTCAGTCACCTGGATTTACTCAATGAACTAATGTAATATCTTGAGCAAATATTTTGAAAAGGTAGAGAGAGACTTAAAGTGTTCTATATCTCATATAGTGGACCTTTCATGGGCACATTTGTACTAGGAAAAGGAAACATAACTACTGGCTATGGGTAACTACTCCACTTTTCATTGCTCTAATTTTTGTGAAATAGCTTCAGTTAACCAATAAGAGTGTATTAAACAGAATGATTATTGTAAGGTATACTCAAAGGCTAAGTTCACCTTTTCCAGAAAATAGGCCATGCAGTCAAGGGTCTCCCGTGGTTAAAAAAACCTGTGCAGATTTGTAAAATGTGCAGTAATTTTATTGTCATACCTGTAAGCCATTTGAACCCTTCTTCCCCCCGAAGCCTGACCAAAAAACTCCTAGATAGAAAACCCCAAAGTCCTGTTTTTATTTGTCAAAACCATTGGATGTTCACTCCTAGCGTTACAGAAGAGAGCCAACGAGATAAGAGGTATGGACTGATAACTGGACGTTTTTCTGCCAGGCTTCCAGAGGGACCCAAATGGTCTACAGGTAAAAAATACAATTACTGCACAGTTTTTATTATCTACAGGGATCCCTTGGTTGCATAGGCTATTTTCTGGAAAGTGTGAGCTTAGCCTTTAAATATAGTCTTTGAACTGAAATTTTTACATAATTATTCATTCATATTTTGCTTACAGTACTTCATAGAAAAATGTGGTGGTCATATGTATATCACAGCAAACATGCAGTTAATGAAGTCTGATAAGTCTAAACTGTTGTCCTCCATAATTTTTCCAGATCTGTGATTCACTAGGCCAGGATCAGGTAACAACCTGAGAGCCTGGACCATTAAAAACACTTAAACTGGAGTGTCCAAACTTATATTTTTTTTCTTAATTTTAGATATTTTGAACCTCTGTCAGATTGTTTTGTTGTATGTGTCCTTTCTGGAGATAATTACCCTCTTTATCTGTCCTGGAAAATTACAACTGTAAAAATGTTGGCTGCTATATGAAAAAGTCAAATTTCTTTGTGTCCCTTAGTTACACAAGGCAACAATACACACAGATAAGTGTTATTGCACAATTAAATTAGAACATCCCTAAAGAAGTCATTAGTTCCGTCAATAAAATTTAATCCATTTATACTCTGGGGAACAGTAATGGAATGAGGACACCGAAGTCTATTTTATAGGCGTCTTCTGATTTCAGATAGGGCTGGACAAGTATCTCTTGGAAGGAATGTTGCTTACTGTGGCACATTAGCGATCTATTGCAGCAATGGCTCATAGTTCCTGCAATAACTGTGAGTCAGTACAAACTTGCCCGAAAACCTTATAAAATCTCACAGTAAACAGGAATAACATGCCGGGGCAACTGTGGGAAAAATCAGTGCAAAATTTCCACCGGTAGTTCACTTCAACTATTTCAACACTTAATGATTATTAGATTATTTTCCATAATTTTTTATTTGGAAAGGTTCTACGCCCATGTTTATTGTAATATTGCTATTAGAGAGGAAAAAGACTCTGAATAAAGAGAAGAGAGACTTATGCAGGCCATAGACGGGTCGTTTATCAGCCAAATTTTCGCCCAAAAGAATAATCGGCCGATATTCGCACCTTTAGTGGGCAAGGTCGTCGGCCGATTTTCGCGGTTCCTTCTCATTTCTTTTATCGGTCATGCTGGAAAATCTATGAAAAACAGCCAATTTTCGTAAGCATTGGTGGCAACAGAACGACCGATTTTTCATTTTTCAGCCGACAATTCGGCTGATAGACGACCCGTCTATGGCCTGCATTAGCTCTGCACATTGGAGTCTGGGAGCACTACTGGTGCATAAGATTGGTCCATTCTAAAGTCATCATAGTCTTCCCTGTCTGATGACCAGCCAGTATTACAGCACAGGGGAAGTGGAAGTAGGCTGAAGGTACTGATAGACTAGAGATGATCCCCCTGTGCTACCTTCCTACCCCAAGAGACGACAAAAAACAAAGTGGTCGCAGACACCTAAAAATAGTGAAAAAACAGTTAAAGCGTGACAGGGTGCTGCGCTACTAAGTGACTGATAGGTGAAAAAATGAATGACATTAACTAAATATAAATATGTCCCTCATCAATGTATGAACATAACATATAAATGTATATAAATGGTGCAAAACATGCCAAGTGACAGTACCGGCCGCAGAAAAATGACTATGAAGTGCTAGTGAAACAAGTGAATAAATCAATGGCTGATGTATAAAAAAATGACTCAGTCCCAAATGATCAATCAAACAAAATTGATGAGTGACTCAATCCAAAAACATCAAAAAAGTGACTCAGTCCCAAAAAATATCTAAAAATAAATAAGACAGTCCCAAAAATTCTGAAAAAAACACAGTGAATCTTCAGAGCATGCCGTGACACATCCAGTGCTGCAAAGATCTATGAACAAATCCTCCGGCTAGCGTGCACGCTCACCTTCAAAATTTGACCCACAAGGAGTCACAAAGCATAGAAAGCCTCAAACAATGATTTCCAAGAAATTGATCCTCGATACAATCAGAGAGCAAAAGGTCATCTCCGTCAGGACAAGCCGGGTCAAACACAGGGGCAGGCAGCGTAGTCAGGGTCGAAAACAGGGTCACAGAACAGGAGCAGGTATCCAGGATCACATAAGACCTTGCGGCAATGGGTGACAGTGCAGGGCATCTTTAAATAGTGCGCCCTGCACTGTCATTGGCTGGCTGGGACGCGCCCCCGGCTGTCATTGGACGCCTGAGGCGCGCCCTCGACTCTCTACTGCGCATGCGCGGCGTCCTGTCAGCCGCGGCTCGCCGCCAGTGCGCATGCGCGGGGGGGACGGCGCCGTGATGCAGGATTCCGGCGCCGTGATCCCTGACACTGCCCCCCCCCAATGGGCACCCTCCGGGAGCCCCACTGATCTCTCCACCGCGGGTGTCCACGAAAAAATTCCCGGATGAGCCGGGGAGCGTGAATGTTCTGGGCGGGTTCCCATGAGTTCTCC